CGGTAAAAATCAAAGGTTTCTTGTTCATGGTAAAAAAAAGATTTTTACACAAACTATAAACATTTGTTCAAAGCTTAGGCAGATTTAAACAATAGAAATATCTGATTCAAAAACAAGCAAGCAAAAAACCCCTAAATTTTAAGAAAATTACTCCAATATCATGTTAAGTATTCAAATTATTTCACAATTTACACTTCAAAAATAAAAGAATCAGAAGAAAACTTGAATTTTACCTCGTGGCGATTTCTTTGGTCAACAGTTCCTTATGAAAATTCGTTAATTTATTCCTTGAAGAACCGGAGAAACCACATATTTTCTTGAAGAATCAGAGGAGCTCATATTAGAGTTCATTATGTAATTTTTTTTTATTGGATATAATATATGGATTGTCTAAATTTTTTTAAAAAATTGTTAATAATAAAAAAAAAAGGAATAATGTGACATGGCATCCTAGTAGGAAAGAGATAATGTATTTATTGTGTCAAATATTTTTTTTTTAAAATAGGTAAAATTGGGTGATATTGTAGTCCTAAAACAAACATAAGTGATATTTCTAGGTAATTTTCCAAACATGGGTGACTATCTAGGGAAATTACTCCCTGAATTAATATAATGTACAATAATTTAATGTCCTAGATAAATATAAATAAAAACAAATTGAACCTAATGGAGGACTATTTTACGGGGAAAAAAAAAAAACTTTTGGTTTCTTATTAATTTTTTGGATGAAATTACATAGCTATAATAATGATGTAATTTAAAATATAATTGTAGTCTGTAGATTATGATAAATGACCGAATTTTAAATATATGTGGTTGAAATTCATGCAAAAATGATTGAACTTTCGACATACAAATTTTTTGGACAATGTATGTTTGAAGCTGTCCAAAGTAGTATATACGTTCAAAACAAAAAAAAAGGCATGCACAAGTTAAATGATGGCATCAAAATCGGGATCCGTACACATTGCCTTGTTTTACTTCAAAGTCATACATCTTGATATGAATCAAAATTAATCAGGCTTTAAATTAGCAGATACTAAATACTCGATGAAATAACGTAGAAATTAAAGGTGACTTAACCCTTTATTTAAGGGACTAATTTGATCTTTTCCTTACCCAAAGTAACTTTTCTCCTTTATTTAAGACACTATTTTGATTGTTTATTTTCCTCACCAAATTAAAGTTTAGCAATATGAAGATAGCATTAATAGAACCTTGTGATAATAATAGTCACATTGTGGTCTTTAATGAAAAACAAATCAAGAAGCCATCCAAAGTTAAAAATTCTAATATGAGTTTATGTTGTCAATTTCTAAACTTTTTTATGTTTATTTCATTCACATGTTTTGTAATTTATTTGATTAGTTGTTCAGCTACAAATCATCCACAAATTTCAATTGAAGCAATCACAACTTCTAAAATTGATATTTCTTCATCATCATCAACTCATTATACATCCCTTTCTGCTCATAACTTGACTATCAACTTCATCGTCGAGAATCTTGACCCTCGTGAAGTTGAATACAAAAGTGTAGTCGTTTCAATTTCCTACAAAGGAAATATTCTCTGGGCAAATACATTAGAACTTTATCATCAACAGAAAGGAGAACGTACCCCAATACAAATGCATTTTCATAATTCAGTCATCGAGATAAAGGGCGATGATGTGGCTAAAGAAATGAGTACTACTAGTGGATATGGATTTTTCAGAGTGGACATAAATGGAATTTACAGGTGGAATAAATTGGAAGTTCGTTGCAATGATGTGAAAATCCATACATTTTCATCATCATTTACACAAGAAATCACATCAATATTTCCAAAAAAATGTACCAAAGTAGACATCCCTCTTGATCTTTTTTTTTAAAAAATAAAATAAAATATTTTTATCACCATGTATTATATGTTTAACGTTTTCGATGTGAATGCAGGTCATTGATGAGAAAGGCTGGCAAGCATATAGTTAGGCATGAGGAAGGGGCATATAAGAAGCTTTTTAAATAATCGCTAATATGTATTTTGTTATGATGCATATATTATGATAACCAAAAATAAATAAATTGAGATTATAGTTGGAAATTAAACTATTTTTCATTTAATTTCTTCCCATGAGTTAAATGAGGATGTTTATTATTTTTACAAAACTGCTCTTGTAAAGTTGTTCTTTCGCAAAAATCAAAAGTATCAATGATCATATTTTACATGGTTCAAATTTCAATAGAAACAAAAAAAATATATACTAGATGATTTTTGTTTATTTGCCTAAGCTTTGGTAGACGATAAGAATATCTGAAATCTATATTGGTGAAATTTAATATGTATTCAATGAAATAGACGAAGTACGTACAATCACATCCGTTGTCTCAAGGACACTAACACTTTGTTTAGATGATTGTTACATATTATTCCGTAATGTATTATATTGTATTATTGAATACAGTGCTTGGATAAATTGTATTGTTTTCTCTCGTTATGTAATGTCATGCATCAATCATTTGAATGATAAATCTGTCAACAAAGTAGGCGATGGGATAAATACTTTAAAAATGTAGGGTAAATAATAAAATAAGATTGCTAAGTAGTATATAAAGACAAATGAAAATAAAATATTGAGGTAACGACGCGATCTATCAAATCAATTGTTACACAAAACAAGATCTGATGTCCTTACCTAACGATGAATTTAAACGATACAATTCTAACAATGTTTAACATACTGTGATTTCTATTCATTCTAACAAAACAAACATGGTGTTAATTATATTAACAAAACTACAATACAATAAGTAACAACCATCCAAACAATGTGTAACAGAATGTGATTTCTATTATTATTTTTTTCAAATAAACTCAAGAAAATTGTAATTAATACTCATTTTACTAGAAAATAAAATATTTCATTTGATAAAACTCTTAAAATTCCTTCTAAGGAAAGTAAAAATTATTACCTACCCACAATCTAATAGAGCATTTTTATATTATATAGCAAAAAAAGAAGAAGACACAATTTTATATTATATATTATATTTATATTATCCCTAAAAAGTTATCGTAATCCCTTAGTGCATAACCTTGGATATTATAGTAATTCTTTTGTTTATTTAAAAAAATTATATATCGTTAGTGTTGTTTTATTTTTTTCATTTGATGTCCGATAGTTGTACTGAGCCCGACTAAATCAAAATCGCTCTCCAATAAATTTGAATTTGTGTTAGAAAATTTCATATTACAGGTAAAGTATTTCTTAACAAAGGCAATTTCATATATGGTCTCATACCTGAGACCTCTAATCACTATAATTTATACTCAATTAGGTCACTTTGTACGTAATACACAATCTACCTTATTTTTAAGATTATAAATTCGATATATTTTTTTGAGGTTTACACGTAGATATTCTTATTTTTGCTGATGTTATACTGTAATTTCTTACGTCTACATAAGTCGTAACTAATAAATTTGCAAAAATAGTTGTTAATAATTATTATACTTTATCATGTAAAATAAAAATTTCGTCCCTAATTAATGTTGTATCTACTTGATAAGTACGTGGAAAATGCACATCTTGAATAACAAATTAATTAAATTAGTACTCTATCACTAATTAAACTCTATATTCACAATTAAAATCCAATTAGGAAAAAATCAAAATATTTACCATATTGCAAAATCTCAATTTTTTTCTCATAAAGGTCTAACGTGTTCGCGCTCAAAGAATGTAGTCCATGTCGAGTATTATTATTGAATCAATGTCAAACGGGTCAAAGGCTTAGAGTGAGACAAGTCAGGAATCTTAAAGCCCTAACGTGTTTGCCCAAAGGACATCTCCCTCGCGTAAGAACATGGATCCAGTTTAAAAAACAAAGGATTAAAATCAGCATTTCCACGACTTATATTCAATGTATGTGTTTCTTTGTCGTAGATTTGTTCATAAATGGAATCTGGAGAGAGTATTGTGTACGCAGATGTCACCCCAACGCAATCAAATTTATTTAAATATGACATAAATATAGTGCTCGAAAATGATTGCAAAATTAGAGGTATATGAAGTGGTTTGTTATAGGAAAATTTGAAATTTGAATCATGATCACAAAACTAATAAAAATCAGTAAAGCTATTCTTAGAACATAAAATGGTGGCAAAGAAACATGTGGGGTTTAGTTTAGATATATTGTGAATTGTGGTAAAAGATGTACCAAATATTTTTTGGTGATAAATTAAAAAAAACCCAATATATTTACTAGAAGAGTCTTTTAGTAAGACAAAAATGAAAGTTGGAAAAGTGCATAGCCATTTTGAGGCCACAAAAATGTTGTTAAAATGAGTGGATGATAATAAATCCCTTTTTAGAAAAATATTTCTATACTTCTATATTTTGAAATATACTTGTGAGATATGGAAATATTAATTTCAAGAGTATTTCAAGTAAAATAACGATTTTATTTATAACTTTTTGTATAAAAACTAAAACAAGTGCAATCGTAGTCTGATCTTCTTGTTTAAGAATATGAGGTTCCTCTAGAGTGAAGTTGTTGGGGGTATTCTATCCCACGAAGGATTGAGAGATACTGTCGTGTAAGAAACTTAGGTAAGACATACGCTCTTTTAGCCAGTTTATTAAGACTTTAATTCATTTTATAAACCTAAGACCACTCTTGCAATACAATCAAATCTTTTTATTATAATAATGTCGTTCTTTTACCACAATGTTTTTTAGATTCTACATTTCGAACATATAATAATATATCACAAGACTTAAAATTAATTTTAAAACACAAAAAACCTTGATCATCACAATAAAATGTTATTAAAGAGTGTGACTGTTATACGATTTTTGAAAACAACCACAAGAATTCAATTGAAAAGGATATTTCATTATTATTATCTAGTGAAAATGACCTAAATTATCTTTTGCCTTTCCTCTCAATAACAACCACACATATAATAAGATGTAGATAGATAGATAGCATAACTTGTTTCAATTTTTTTAATTTTTTTTTGGATGTGATAAGAAAATGTTGATCACACAAAATTTTATCAATTGCTATTCTTCATCTACCAATTTTTCTTATATTTTTTTGAAATATAGAAAAAGAAGATTGAGTACTAAACATTCAACAATTTCATTTGCAAAAAAGAGAGAATTTTCTGAGAAATCAAAAGTTGAAGAAAACGCAATTTCATCATTGAAAATTCCAAGAAATTTTCTTATTCAAGCTGTTGTTGGAGTTTTTGCTTTGGGGTTCATTGATGCAGGGTAAATTTTCCTAATTTATAATATTTGTTTATTTATATCTATTCAAATCTTAGAATACATTTTATCACACTAGCGTAAATAGAGATTTTGAGTTTGAGTTTGGGAATGGAGATCGGAGAAATTTTTAGTGCGGAGGGGTTTCCCTCAACCCTATTAAGAAAATCAGGAATTAGCGACTGACAAATTTGACAACTAAATAACAAAATTCGTTATTAATTCTATTTAGCGATAATTAGCAACTAAGTTTATAGATAATTTCAGATTTTCTTGAAGTGACGACTCTGGCAAGACATGAATTCTAATTAGTCGGATCAATATGTTTCACCTACATTTCAAGTTGCTACAATAAACCCTCTTTGTTGTCATTTTTATGGAAAATTGATATAGATAGCCGTTCACTTAAAAAAATATAGTTTATATATAAAATATGCATATAATAAATGTAAATATCATGTATATTAGCTAGAAATTATAAATATTTTTTATCAAGCGGCCAATTGGTGTAACTTTTCCTCTTTTTTATTTTTTCTCATATTTTTAACTTAACAATATTTCAGGTATAGTGGAGATTGGTCAAGAATTGGAGTGATCTCAAAGGATAATGAAGATTTACTGAAAATTGCAGCATTTTTAATAGTACCATTGTGTCTCTTTGTGATATTTTCTTTCTCTAAGAAAATTGAAGAATGAAAGCGTTTTATATTTTTATCCTTTTTTTAGAAAAGCACAAATTATTTTATTTTCAATCAAGTTATTACCATATCTTCTAAGTTGATATATTATTACTATCAGTCATTACCATCAACTACTTCACGACTTGTTTTCTTAGCAAAACATGATTGAGTGAAAGACCAAATATAGTTCAATACTCTATCTACGGAGCCTCTAAGAAATAAGGAAGAGGGAATATGTGGAACAAGATAATTTTTGTGTTTTCTTTCGGCTTACACGCCAATTTAGAGTTCTCGGGTGTGTGCCATCATGACCTCAATTTTTGGATCATGACACAAACGCCATTTATAATCTCAATCCATCACAATATTTACATGTAGCCTAAAGAATTTACCTTTTATTTTACCATTCAAGCTTTATCATATCAGGTCGGGTCGGATCAGTCCCTTTTTGGTGCTCTTAAATTTTCTTAAGGATTTTTAGAGGATTCTAGTGTTAGGACTTGGATTAGCATTAGAGAGTTGTAACTAAGATGATGAGATATTATTTTTGTCTCAAAATATATTTATCTTATTTTTTATTTATGCGCTCGTTAGAAAATATTGATTAGGAGGATTTTTGACTATTTTATCCTTATTTATATCTTAAGATATAATCTCTCTTCAATGAATATTTATTTTATGGGTAAAAAACATAGAATGAGAAGAAAAAAAAATTATGTCATGTAGGATAGTTCGAATTCGAGAGTTAAAGCAGTTTTAATTTAACCGTAAATTTGGATGTGAAATCTTTGAATTTTTTGAAATAAAATCTATATATTTGAAAACTAAATAAAAAGTACTATAAGTCACAATAATTGACAATTGAAAATATTTATATATATATATGAAAAAAATACGATCAAAGATAGACCTGTTTAAATCTCAAAATTTAAAAGATACCACATAAATTAAAATGAAATTTCTAAAATAACAATTATTTTGAGACAAATATTTTTAATCAAAACGATAAGTATTTTTAAACGAAAGAAAATATAACCATAGAAGTCCGTTAAGTGTATCACTATTTTTGGAGTTTGGATCGTGACATATGATTACTAGTCACATCTTGACATTATATTATGCACAAAATGGGGGAACATTTTTAGTTACATCTTTTTGAAATTTCTACCATATTATAAAATAGAAAATTAAACACCAAAAATAGAAATAGGAAAAATTACAAGAATATACTATTTAAGACCTTAATTTACCTAATATTGTTTTAGTTTTTTTATTTACAACATTAACATTTTAATTACAAATATGACATTTTATTATAAATTAAAAATCTACACGATTTTATGTCCTATTTTATTGGTTAGTGGACTAAATTTTTGGGAGTCATATTTTATCTTTTATTTTAATTAATTTTTAGAATCTCAACCACAATTATATTTGTATACGTTTTCTTTAATAAATATCTTACTTTCTCTTTCATGTTAACCTTACACGGAAGAAATATCATTGATGTACTTTTTTTTTCCTTGGTAAATGCATTGCTGCACACATTTTTTTCAAGAAAATGTTTTGAAACTCCTTGAAAATATTTCTCTTTGTTTCTTTTAAAAATGATCTCTTACAACACAATTTTTTTTACTCTTTGAATAAATCGATTATGAGTAAGAAAGTTGCTTTTGATAATGCTCCCGGAAAGAGTCCTCATTTAATGAAGGCTTATATCGATGTCAAGAGCCCGATTGTTTGTTCAAAATAAAAATTACAACTCTTAATTTGAAGAAGATCCGCATTATCATAGTTAATATGATTTGTATCATGTGGTCCATAAATTATCGGAAAAATTTTTAAACACATTTTTTTGTGTGCACTTTGGTGGTCGATTTGATACAATTATTGATGATATGTTATTTTAAATAGTGATATGTGTTAAGGAATATACTTTGGTAGCTGATCCGGTATAATAATTGGTGATTTGTTGGTTATTAATCGTAATATGTTTTTGTGTATATATTTTGATGGATGGTATAGTTAAAATATTGATAATTTGTTGATTTCAATTTGATGGATGGTGGTCGATTTAGTACAATTATTGATGATATGATATTTTAAATAGTGATATGTATTAAGGAATATACTTTGGTAGCTGATCCGGTACAATAATTGGTGATTTGTTGGTTATTAACTGTAATATGTTTTAGTGTATATATTTTGATGGATGGTATAGTTAAAATATTGGTAATTTGTTGATTTCAATTTAATGGATGGTGTGATTAATTTTTTGGCGATATATCGATATAGAATAATAAAAGAAATTGATTTTTAATTGATGGTAATGTTGATTTTAGTTATATGTTCCAAACCTGCAATGCATAACACCATAATCTAATCAACTATATACCAACTTTTTAGAATCATCAAATTAATTTACATGGTGTACAATGTGGTGTAACCTTTGTGTCAAGTTCAAATTTTAATAACAATAACAACAAAAAATAATTGGTGGATTTGTTGGTTAAAAAATAATGGTAATTTGTTGATTTAAAGTTGCAATATGTTATAGTATATATATACTTTGATGTAAGGTATGACTAATTTTTTGGTGATATGCTGGTTTAGAACTATAAAAGATATTGATTTATAATTGATGGCAAAGTTGATTTTAGTTATGTTACAACCCTATAATACGTAATACCATAATCTAATCAAGTATATATCAATTTTTTAGTATCATTAAATTAATTTACATGGTGTACAATATGATTTAACTTTGGTGTCAAATTCAAATAAATCTAATTTAATTTTACCATAATGAATGAATTATACCAAATTTTAACCAAATAAATTAAAATATATAAATCCATACATTGATGATAAATTTATTATTGGTTATATGTTCCAACGACATTGGTGTAAAAAAAGATTTAAACAAAAAAATTGAAGGGAGAGAACTAAAGAAAAACAAATAAATTTTTCAGAAAATAAAATGAGGTATATAAAAAGAAAAAAAAAAGGAGAAAGAGACGAGTGAAGAGAGTTTAGAAAAAAAAGGGTGGAGAGAAAAAGAGAATCAGTTTAATTAGTATTTTAAGAAGAAGATTAGAAAAGGGGAAGAAAATAAGGAAATAAAAATATTGAGGGATTAATTATTGAGAGATTTGTGGAAGGTAAATAACAAAATAAGAGAAAAATAAGAAATGAAATCTTATTTAATATAGGAACGTGTATTGTTGTATTATTTATACCAATTTATTTCTTATTTATTTTGTTTTTGTAAAAAAACTGTTGATATATAGGTGAAAAGTTAAATTATTGTTATATAAGGATTATTTAGGTGCTTAAATTGTACATTTAAGTTTTTCACCCCCAAAAATAACATATGTAATAGTAGTAATGAAATTCATACCACGTTCGAATTTTCAGTAATTGTTCAATTAAATTAAGTTGAATTTGAACGGATTCAAATAGATTTATTTATATTAAAAAAATGACTTATTGAAAGAATAACTCCATAATGAATTGAATTGAATTAAGATGGGTAAACAATCAGACATAACCAAGCACCCCCAACTCTAACTAAAACAAAATTATTGATTTTGTGGATTTTTTTCTTTAATATGATTATATCAGACATATCAAATTAAATAAATTATTAATATTTTGACAAGTTTTCTAATAGATGAATGAGTTATATATTTAACTCAAATCAATCCAAGTTTAGTCGAGCAAATTGTAAATGAACTGATTTCTCATTCTCTATTACCAACGAGCCTTTTAGTAATGGATTAAAGTTCTTTGATAATCTATTGACAATCAAATGCAAGTGATTTGATCAATTTACTAACCAATTTTTTGTTTGTAATTGCATTTTTTTATAGTGATGTTTAGAGTCCTGTGTTTAGTTTGTTGTGTCATAAATAACTCTTTTCCATATATCGAAAGCTATTTCCTCAGAATATCAACGTATCTGTGAGAAGAAAACTCTTATAGCTTTAATAAAGTAAAAATTTAATCAATCAAGACTTTTGTATCACAGTTGCAACTAAAATCATGAGTTCAGGTTTTGAAGAACGCTTCATAATTTAATTATGAGATTATAAAATGAGTATGGTTTAGTTTAATGTATTTTTCTATTATTTAATATCGACAACTAAAGGGTTTAGTTTAAAATATAATGAATTTCTTTCATTATATTATAGAATGTTTTTGGCCATCAAATTATATGTTACGCAACACATTACTAGTTTTCATGGATGTTTCTAATTTTCACGTCTCAAATTATTTGTTGTAATTATTTTTTATACGTCTTATAAAAAAATATTAATTGGGAAAGGTTCTTAACTATTTTACTAATCATAATATAATTTCGCAATTGAAGTATTTGTATTCTTAAAAAATATAGCTAATAAAGGTCAATGAAATGATTTTGTCTTGAACTTCTAAAATGACAAATAATTAAACTAAATACTTTTAAAACCACTCAAATAATTTGAGACAAAATGATTTCAAATTGTCTGTCATATTTCTCTTTTAGGAGTATATTTTTACAAAAATATTAAATAGGGATTTTCAATTATTTTATCATTATTTATGCCATAAGATATAACCTAGTTTCATTAAATATTCACTCTATTAGAGTACTGTAAACTTCAAGAACAGTTACTAGTACTAAGAATAAAATAGAAAAATAAATAATTTTATATTGAACTTCTAAAATAATAGTAACAATTTGAGACGAAGAAAATAGTTTATTCAGACTTTAATATAAATATCAAACCTCAAATGAGAAATATTTTTCGAAAAAGTTGATGAAGGAAAACAGTTATATTATGCTTTTCATGCCAAGAGCAAAAACAAAAACATAAACAAAAAAAATCAATTTAATTTTGTCTGTCTGTACTTTGGTCACATATTTTATTTTTTTATTTTAGTAGTCAAATCATAATTATAAGAGAGTACTATATATAAAAAGAAAAATTATCTAAAAATATTTCACACAAGGTAGATATAGCAATATTGATCACTTTTTTA